TCTGAGCAGACCTGCGCTCTATAATTTCCAATCAAAATACCGACGTAAAATACACTATTTTCTCTCAAAATCATTGCAATTTGGAATTTACGTCATTTTATTGACGTCATATCTAACTAATGATGTCATAGTTGATAAAAATATTTAATGCTTTGAAGTCTGCAAATATCCACCTGGTTTAGAACATAATTAAAGATTTCTCCGTCAAAGTTTTATTTTGGGGGCAGATACTGGCCACTACAGAATATAGTCCTTTTCCACAGTTTATGTCTGACAATCTATGTGTACCTACAACATGTAGTCTTTCAAATCTCTCCTTGGTAAGTATATACATGTATACTGAATCGTAATCTTTATACTGTATACAGGGTTATTTTCGCGGCTTTGTCTTGTGTTATTTTTGCCCTCTCACACTTGCAAACAATTTTACTTCGTTTAAATTCGCCCAGTCACAGTTCTGTTAAAGAAATTATACCCTGTTCTTTGAATTAGCCCCGTTTTAAATTCGTCCACCTGTGAGTGGGTCGAAAATAAAACAAAAATAAAAATATTCCCTGTATGCAAGGTAAATAATTGGTGATTGGATATACGTATTATTATAATGAAAGATAACTTTAATGCTTTGAATAACTGAGATTTTTTTCCTTGTATGACTTGAAATCTCGTATGAGTTAAATTAATTGAGATCAGAATGGTTTAACTATGTAAATCTGATAGTCCTTCAATTTATTCATGCTGGTACTTCAAATGAAAAAAATGATTACATTGTTCTTTGTCATGAAGTCATAGAAGGAAATTGATTAAAATCATTGAGTAATGTTCCATCGTGAGATTTAATTAGAGGTTAAAAAATGAATTTAATTAGAGGTTAAAAATTTGATTTTTGTGGAAATTGTTTCCCTTAAAAATTTTATTTTTGTCCAGATGATTGTTACCAGAATTTCACATCTATAGATAAGGCGAAAGAAATTTAATTTTTCGTTTTACGGATCCGCCGACCAGAATTTGTCCCGATTAAAAAAAAAATCCGGAATTTTCATATCCACCCACGTTTTGTTTTAAAATAAACTTCATAAATTATATCTGTATAAGTAATTTAGAGCGTCTGCTTCACATGGAATGTAAACCAAAATGGAGATTGAAGCCATGCTTGATTTGGTTATGTATATTTTATGTATTTTAGAAAATTCAATGTATGATAACAGGCGCGAATCCAGGATGTTTTTCAAAAGGGGGGGGGTCAACCGCAATCAAAAAAATTCCCAACTCAGAAATTTCTTGATGAGCAAATAAAAAATTAAAACTACTTTCTCAAACGTATCAAACCCAGAAAATTTTCTTGACAAGCCAAGAAAAAAAAAAGAAGAGCCCTCCCTCTATCTATGTTATATACCTATGCTAACTATGTATCCAGTGTTACCAGTAATATATTTGCAAGCACTATGACGGAGGGATGTTCTCCTATTAGTCTTGTTGACCTAAACCCCATCATTAGTGACAGACGATTTATTTATCGAATACATTAAATTTTTTTTCCATTGACAGGGATAAAGGTTTTCGTGTTATCCCTACGTTTCCCTTCATGTGACTGGTTGACAGTTGTACAGTTTGTACAATTGACTAATCAGATACAGAGAAACAGATCGATGTATACATCGAAACCTCCTTTATCGCTGCCAATGGAGAAAATCATATGTATCCGATTAATAGATCGTCCGATTACGGCATATAAAACACTAAGGTTGAGGTTTAGGTTAAAAAGACTAATAAGAGAACATCATTCTGACAGAGTGCTAGCATAAATATGATAGGTAATTCTATTATTGCCTTAGAATTATGTCTCGAAGCAGGAAACCTCGTTTGTTTACGAATTCATTTTCTTGTGTATTTCTATTATACATTTGTACTGTATATGACCAATCTCTAAACGTGAGAAAAAGTACAATCTCCTTGCATAAAACGAAATATGGGTGTGATTGACGGGAAAATCTCATATTTTTGAAAAATTATAGGTTCTTACTATTTTTTTTCCAATTAGGGTTGGGGGGAGGGGTATCCACACTTAAGGCGCATGTGAAGAAGACGACACCTAACGGGTAGCCATAAAGTTCCAAGTGTTATCGATTAATTGAAAAGCCAGAGGTCTTAGAAAATTTTGAAAAAGAAACCGAAATTGATTCATAAGAATTTAATTTTGCTGCATGTTTTCGAAATAAGTGAGTGTAGTGGTCAATATTCTTTTTAAAGGATTTAACCACTGATTCCAAATAGCAGTTTTAAGAAATTTATATTTTTAGTAACCTTGGCAACACCATTCATCGAAATAAAAACCGATAAAGAGAATTATGTATTTTAAAGTATTCTATGTGTGTGCCAAGTTATATTGAAATCAGACCAAAACTGTAGGAGGACTAGCGTTTTGGAGGAATTTCACAGAAATTTTTATTTTTAGTAACCATGGCAACACTGTTTCATTGAAATCAAAAAAGCAATACATAGCATTATTTATCTTAGTGCAGTCTACTTGTGTGTCAAGTTATTTTGAAATCAGACCAAAACTGTAGGAGGAGAAGCATTTTGAAAGTATTTCATAGAATTCGAAATTTCTATCTTTAGTAACCATGACATCACTGTTCATCAAAAAATATAAAACCAATATAAAGAATTATGTATCTTAGTGTAGTCTAAGTGTGTGCGAAGTTACACTGAAATCAGACCAAGACTGTTGGAGGAGTAGCGTTTTAAAAGTTTTTCACAAAACTTTCATTTTTAGTAACCATGACAACACTGTTCTTTGAAATTAAAAACCGGTAAATAGAATCATGTTTCTCAGTGTAGTCTACTCATGTGCCAAGTTATATTGAAATCAGACCAAAACTCTATATGAGTAGCGTTTTGGAACTATTTCACAGAAATTTCTATTTTTAGTAACCATTGCAACACCATTCATTGAAATCAAAAACGGATAAAGAGAAATATGTATCTTAGTGTATATTACTTGTTTACCAAGTTATACTGAAATCAGACAAAAAATGTAAGAGTAGCAGCATTCTACAAAATTGTATACAGACGGACAGGCAGACAGACAGCTAGACGAACTGACGATTGACACCTTACTATCGCATAAACTCTTCTGTTCTATGATCGGTGGACCGTTCACGGTAGCTCAGTCGGTAAAGCGCTCGCTCCGTGATCGGGAGGTCGTGAGTTCGAATCTCGGCCGCGACTGACCTAAGTCGATAAAAAATGGGTAGCAACTGTTCCTTTGCCATGCGCTTGGCACTTTGAAGTGAAAGTTGCGGGTCCTTTGGATGAGACCTTAAAAACCGAGGCCCCGTGTCACGGCAGGCGTTGGCACGATAAAGATCCCTCACTGCTCAATGGCCCTGAGTGCCGAGTAAAGGTCAAAATTTGAAGCCCTTCACCGGTATATGGTGACGTCTATATATGAGTGAAAAACTCTCGAATGGGACGTTAAACAACATACAATCGATCAATCTATGATCGGTGGAGCTAGAAAAGAAGTAAAATTTCTATGATATATGAATTCACTATTGGAACTGAAAAAGGATAAATATAAGGAATTTATCAATTAGTAAAATGCCAAATTAAGAGAACTTAAAGTACTCATATCTTTAAAAAATTACAAAGATTAAGTATAACAAATCGTTCCATCCAGTCATCATTGGCATCGTTTTTACTTTACTCGTCGACAATTTTGTTTTAGATATCTCTCTCTGATGGAGATTCATAAACATATATTACCAGTGTAGTTTCTTGTATTGTTAAATGGAGTTTATTTATTTAACTTCGTCTATTCGATCTGTTTAGTTCTTGGGTTTTCATTGCACAATATTTTACGCATTGTAGTGATATACAGCGTAGAAATCATTTTGATATCATTTATCACATTTAACAGAAGGAGAAACAGCTGAAAATATGAATTCTTTAAAGAAAATATTTTTAATTGATAGCTTGTGGGCATCATCATTGTGTGTTTCTCATAATATGATCATAAGGAGGAGGTTATGAAAATTAATGTAAATAGACTAAGGATAAAATACAACTGTATATGTTTTTTTAACATCTTAAACGTAGGAATTTCTAAATCTAATAGTTCATTTTTGTTAATTTCTGTTTGAACCCTTAGTAGTTAATATCTTTTGTTGTACTCCATTAAATAGGATTATTTCGTAAATTTTGACATTTTGAATTGACCCGTTCAAAACTAGACGATAGAAATTATGTTTCTTAAATATAATGTACATTGTAGTATTACTCATCATATATTATAATTTGAGCAAAAAGGTAATTTTAAAGTTTTCCCTAATGTGCGAAATAAAGACACTCCTAAAGTATAAGATTTATTTCAATAACTTGATTGTTTTTGCTGTCCATTCCGGTCGGTGTTAAGCTCTCACTTACTGTACAACCTTTTCTAGGCTGATTGGTTGGTGGGCGGAGTAAATCAAAGAAGCACAGAAACACAAAATATGCAGTTATGAATAGATTTTATTTTGTGTACTATTTATTCAAAAAGAAACTTCACATCTACAGTCTCTGACATCAGGGATCTATAGAAGATTTCACAAGTTTTACCTTGCCAACAATAATATCATCAAACTAGAAGCGAGAAATATAACATGATAAAAATAGCACACACACACCTCTCAAAAAAGCGAGAAATAACATAATAAGCTGACCATGAAAACCTAACTTAACTCCCTCTCCACCCACCACCCAGCCCCGCTAATGTGATCAGTGAATGAAAATTGTTTTCACTAAGCAAGCATCGCTACATAGGTTTTTATTTATCGTGAGTTAAACTTATATAAAATTTTAAGGTTCAAGATTCATGCAAAAATGCTTTTCTTTTGAAATTGCATGAAAGTCAATCAATTGACTAAATTGTGCAGGATAAGCTAGAACAGGGTTATAGTTTGTGGAAAAATATTTCAAAAACAAACTTGCAAAACTGACTGAAAATTGCAATTGTTACATTATTGCTTCATTGCAAGTCTAATTCTATTCCAGAAAAGTTCTCTTCCAAGCGAATTTGCTGGTGGCCATCTTATATAGGTCATAGAGCGAAGTAACATATGCAAAGAGTCTGTCATATATTTGCTCTGAATTTCTCCCAACAGCACAACGATAAGCACATTAGCACCGTCATCAATCAGTCGATCCTGCGCCACCAGAGTCTCGTACTGACACCATTGACTCTTTGCAAAACTGTCTGATATTACTAGAATGACTTTTCTACTTCTCTGTATGGTGTGAGAGATTTGTGAAAAAATGGTCCTCCCAGGAAGAAAGTCTCTTTCGTGAAGACACAAGCGATATTGCTCCTTACCCTCAAGTTCTGACATCAAATTGGAGATAACCCAGGAGCGGTCATCTTCATTATACGCAACAAAGGCATCAAATAAAATATCTGACTCATCCGTTCCTTCAATTTTTTCATATCCTTTTCGTGATCGGAGCAAATAAGCATAGTATTTTATATGCCATTTGTATTTTTTGTAGAGAACAACAAGAATGATCAGCAAAATAAAAATACAGACTGCAGCGATTGCAATCGCCTCTTGCGTCGTCAAAGAATGACATTCATAATATGATGGGTTATAATCCATCAAGGTTCGGTTGTATAGATTTATCGGAGAAGAACACTGGTAAGAAGATAGATCATTCTGGAACAAAATACTTTTCCTTTCTTTAAGTACAGAGTTAATGAACCAGTACAAATCACAGTTGCAAGCATATGGATTGAAGCGGATATCCAGAAGAGAAAGACGATCAAGGGATGCAATAGAAATAGAGTTATTGTCAATAACACTAATCCTATTTGCCCTTAAAGTTAAATTTTTGAGATCCTTTAAATCTTTGAATAAATGAAAATGAAAGGCTCCAATAAAATTGGTTCCCAAATCCAGTACTTTGAGACGATTCAACTTGGAAATAATATCCGGAATTTGTAGAAGACGGCAATCGTATATAACAAGTTCCTCGAGTTTGAGCAAAAATCCCAATAATAAAGACATATTTGTATTCATCAAATCAAAGCGCGCCATCTTTAATTTCACTAATTCTGGTGTATGATTAAAAACACGGTTTGAGTCAAAAGTTGGAGGATATTTAGCTCCAATGTTCCCAATGTGGAGTTCTTGAAGAGTGTTGGACGATAATGACATTTCCTCAAAGATGTTTTCAACACTAAATAGATTTTTAAGATACAGATTTGTTAGATTGGGTAGATGAGCAAATGTATTATTTTTCAAGATTCTTATTGGATTGTAGGAGAGTGTCAAGTGAGTCAGAGACGTCAAACAAACAGATGATTTTTCTAAGAATTTTAGATTTGAAATGTGATTTTGTTGAACATCCAAATACATCAACGATGGAGTCAAAGATTTTTTATTTGAATCACAAAATGTTGGAAAAAATATAATTTCGTTTAATTTCAGAGATAAACTCGAAATATTGCCCAGCCCTTCAAGCGAGATATTGTATATCCCATTGTCATCGAGCGTGAGGTTCTTAATATTCGGCAAATTCTTAAAAATGGAACTGTTTACTATGTTTTTGATTTTGTTCTTATCAAGAAAGAGTTTCTGCAATGACTTGCTTTTTGTATCAGAAAATTTATGGATATCTATTTTTGTTCCGGTGAGGTCGAGTTCTTCGATGTTTGAAGTTAATATATCCGACAAATTTGCATTTTTAAAAACATTGAAACTGAAGTTCAACATTCTAAGATGCTGCAATCCTTTGAAGGCGCCGGCACCAACCTCAAGAATGTTGCAAATAGACAAATCTAAATAGTCCACTTCATGTTCCTTAGACACATTCTCAAATGTCTGTCTTGTGATATGCTGGTAAAAATTCCCCGAAAGATTAATCCTCTGAATTCCTTTTGGAAGCCTTGGTATATAAGACAGATTTTGATTAGAACAATCCGCAGTTATATTATAGCACAGACATACAGATGGACAATCATTTGCTGTCACTGTATAAAGACAAAATATGACCCAAACTGCACTGCTGCTGGTGTCTCTAGAATATATTCCTCGCATACTGCAATATGAAATAAGTCGCGTTAATGTCTGAATACAATTTCTCTTTGCAACAATTTGATTTATTGATGAGTATTTAACATCTTAATCAAAAAGTTATTAAACCTTGGGAAAATGTTATATTCTTATTTTTGTGTAATACAAGGATTGCAATGGCTGACTTTTATTCACATAAGCCATTACAATGTAAGCAGTATTGAAAGAAATTGATCAAGTTACAAGGAATATGACATACACACCCATTTAAGGATTTAAGGGCGAACAAGTTTAGTGTTACATTGAGATAACGAACAGTTATCAAATTCAAAAGTCCATTGAAACAATACAGATTTGGAACAGAGCAAACACCGACCCCTAAAAACATCAGAGGTGGGATCAGGTGCCTTGGAGAAGTAAACAGTAAGAAATTTGAATATGGTTCCTCCACTGTATTAGATCATGTCAACGCATATAAGCTAAAAAGTGCAGAGTGTATATGTGATAAACAATAAAAGCAATATTATGATTCCATGACATACTTTTACGTCCACCTTATATTTTATTAATCGCAATATGTTATATGTTAATATTTTATCATAAAATGAAGCGACAGAAAAATAATTATAGTGTTTGGAAATAAGACGACAGAGGTACACTGTCCAATACGTCAGATCACATAATTCAATCAAAATTTGTCGTTTACAGATTTCATCATTTTTTTTTAAATACAAAAAAATTACCGTATTATTAATATTAGACGATGCTCTCTTTACTTATATCATATGTAAAGTCTAGGGAGTTTAGTTATGTTTATTTAGTCATCCAAAATGGCATAAGATTCAGCTGAAATAAACGTACATACAATGATGTAAAATTGTATTGTTATTGTAATTGATTGCAATGATTACACAAAAGATTATAACAGCTGATAATGATCAATGTAAATCATTTTGAAATTGAAATTTTTACAGTTTTTTAAAATGTATTTTGTATATTTTAGTCTTAAAATTCTAGAGGGCATCACTGAAAAGTAAGAACAGTGTCTATGAAATGAGAAAGTTTGTTGGCTAAAATATTTCATACATTAAGATATCCCCTTGGAAGTCATCGAAATTACCAATAGATTCTAAACATGAACATAGTTATAGACCTAGCTGTATATGTTTAAACATTTTTGTGGAAGTACTGAAGGAGAATAGTGAGGATCAGAACGAGCTGGATAAAACTAAATATTGTAAACGTTTCAAAAGCGAGCCAAGTATTTGTAAAACATATTTCTAAATTCACTTTAATGATATTTGTAAGTTACACAAAACCATAAAATTGCATCATCAAATCGTTTCTAATTGTTTAAAAATGTCCTTATTTATGAAATGCCATAATTAAATTTCACCAAATACAAGCAAAGTCATGCAAGAGGGCCTCATTAAAGGTCACAGAAAACCCCATATCTGAAGAAAGTGGATTTTTATCATAGCTTTCTTTATTTCTCTGTATTATGATTCAAATTAATTTCCTACATGATAAAAGAAGAGTAAATGTATGCTTACTTTTCTTCATTGCAAGCATGACAATTAAAATTAGAATGGTTTTTCGATGAAAAGCTGAAAATGCCTCAATGTATTAATGCCGGTTTAAATAAAAAAAAAACCCATTGTCATGAAGTAATAAAAGGAAACAATGAAATCCTTGAGCGTGGGGAAAAAAAAAACGAAATTTAATTAGATGTTTAATTTTGATTTTTTGTACATGCTGGTGTCTCTTTTATAAGCATAATTTGTCAAATGATTGACAAGAACACCAAACCTATAAAAAACCTAAAATTAGGTAAAGAATTGCTCCTGTATCAACTTTTTTTTTTTTATCTTAACAACGCTTTTCTTAAAAATTCATTTTGATGTTTAGACACAAATACATTTTAGTGTTCGGATTTGTATAGAAAACCCGTAAGAATCGGCGATCACGGTTTCTATTAAGCTGTTAGATTTTTTATTGCATGAAACATGCAAGAGGCCTTTATTTAAGGTAACAGAAAACCCCAAATCCGAAAAAACTGGATTTTATCTTAGCCTTTTTGTTTCGCTGTATTTAGATTCAAATTAATTTCTAACGTGATAAAAAAGAGTTAATTCATGCAGATCTTTATTTTACCATGAGTCAACCGCGTGGCGCAGTGAATAGAGCGTTTGCTGTAGAGTCGCGGAGTAGGGAGTTGATCCTTACGTCGTGGGTTCGAATCCCATCTTCATGCACATGAATGTACGTGCGCGCGTGTGCAATGAGTGACATAGTTGAAAATTAAGACATATTAAGAATATAAATGTGAGAAATCTAGAAAATGTGCACAAACACGTGTGCTGAAATCTGATTGGCCAAAATTGTAAGTTGTTATAACTTATGGTTTTTAACAAAAAAATTGAATTCAGTTTGTGTGAATAAGATAAGTCCTTACATCATATACGGTATCATCAGAAATACGAAGACATGCATGCACGTGTGCTGGATTCTGATTGGTTGATATTCAGTTTGCTGTTACTTTCTACATTTTCAGTGAAATTCTTTGAAATCTAAGAAGTATCTCTATATTATATGAAATCATGAGAGGAGGTTAATGGAAATTTTCGAGATAATGTGCCTGCACATGAACTCAAATCTGATAAGCTTATGCTCATTTTGCTATGTTTGCATTGTTATCCCCCCTCTACCGGAAATACGTTGGGGAAAAAAGTTGTTCAAGTCTATAATATTTTTGCCAAATTTAATGACTCTTACAGGAAATGAGGTACCAAAAGGAAGTTGGAAAGCGATTGGGGAGCATTTGGAACGGTCTCCGTTACAATTAGAACTAGTTCAAATCCATTTTGATTGTTGGAAATATTTAAAAAAAAAAATTAAAACTGACATATGCTTTTGAAGAATTTCCTCCTTAGAAAGGCAGCTATGGGTATAAGTTGGATTGCCACTTGCAGAAATAAATCCTGGTTCCTCTAGAATACAATTCAAATAATGAGCTTAACAAACAAAGACAATGTTGTTACTTGCTTTATCAGCGGGCACCAGTACATACTGGTCGTGTAACCTATCTAATTCTTGTTTTACTTCTGCATTGTCAAAGACATAAGGATAGTTGGTTTTCATATTGCCCATTAATCGCTTAATGAGCGATTTGAACATCCATCTGATACATTTAATCCATTCTGAGAAAGTATCAATGTCTTCATTTTCATATTTAGCCCATCGTCTGTCGTAATCTTCTACTGAATTCATAATATTATGAAATTCTGACGCCAGTTGAAAGATTAGAGTTCCCTAAATTTCGGCCCATTTAAAATAAGTGATTTAAGGTCTTAATTATTAACCATATTTACGTCACCTGTAATGACGTGTGCAGCTGGAGTAAAGTTGCAGGGTGAAGAAGAACATGTACACGTCGGAAGATTATGTTTCAGATGCTCGATATATCAGTACTGTAGTTTTTTTTAATAAATAAAAAGTTTGGAAGCAATTGTCGATGTATTTTTTGTAAGAAATATAAGGTGTGGACTTCAACTTGAAATATGGTGGAATACAAGATTGGACCTTCTTGAGATCAAGAATATTACTTATATTAACTGCGTCAATTTCTTTGTTGGTATATAGAAGTTTAAGGACCAAACGGGTTGTTTGAGCGGTATTTTCTTTCGCGAAACGTTGCAGTTGAAAGAGCCTATGATTTGCAATATCCATAATCACAGATCCAAGCCTGTATTCTGGTGTCGAAGAATCCAAAGATTTTTACAAATAGACTATCCAAAACTTTCAAAGGGACAGAGTAAAGTTTGGTGTGAATTGATCAAGGCCTAAACTGTTTATTTACATAAGTTAGTAGTGAATCAAAGGAGACATCGTGTATAATAGGTTTATTGTAAGACCAATGTCCATGACTACGCTTACTGTTAAAAAGTTCCATCATATTCACATTGCTACACTGTGGGCTTGAAAGATTCCCAACACTATCGACATTGTCAATGCTACCATATGGAAAGGCAGTGTCTAATTTTCTAATCAAGTATTTTTCTCATTGTCTACGGAAAGGTGTACTCAGTGATGGGCTATTAGTATGATGATAAATCTTTTTCTAGAATTCTAACTTTCATTGACAAAACAGAATGATCAGGTAAATCAAAATGCTTGTATAGAAGCAGCTAGTCCCCGTTGTTAAATTGAAATCTATGCCCTGATATTCTTTTATCAAGTGAATAGCTTTGGTTTCACCAACATAAATAAGCCCACAAAGTGTACATTCTATCCGTATAAAACATTGTTGTACCTGCTTTGTCAGCTGGGACCAGTACATACTGACCGTGTAATCTATCTATTTCTTGTTTCACTTCTCTTAAGCATCGTATGTCCCAAATATGTAAAATTACAAGAATTTTAAAATGATTTTTACATGTTTATTATGTGGTTATCATTCTCATGCAGTTGAACGATTTGAAAACAGAATATAAAGTTCATCGTCAAAGATAAAGCATTCTGAATTATTACTTTTTTAAAAAGGCGGAAAAAAACTAGACAATAAACGGTATAGATGCTTTACTATAAAATCAGCCGGATAAAAATAAATTTAGACGTCAGATAAGAAGAAAGTCATGTTAACATACAGGTGAATATTGTCGGACTTCTGTTTTTTTTTTTTTCAATCATTCTGATTCTACATATAAGGACTCTGAAAATTAATATAATAAAGGTGCTGGAGTTTCTCATTGACAATATCTATTTAATCTTTGGAGACCAGGCCTTAAATCAATATATTGAAATTCCGATTGTACTCTATTGTTAGCCGACTTATATATATTTATATTCCTATAAATTAGAATTTATTCGAAAACTTTTTTATGAGAAGAAGAAAACTTTTCCTGTGACCTTCAACTCAATATCTAGATATATCGACTTGTAACTATTTATCAATTAACGATAATTACTTTCATTCATATGCCGACTTAATATTTCCCAGTGAACTCGAAATAAGACACTTCAGAATCTGCAACATTTCATATTTGGATGTGTTACTGACTCTAGACGAAAAGGGCCACTAATAACTAAACTGTATGACAAACAATTAACATCCCTCATTTACATTATATGTAGCAATATTATCATCTCACCTGCATGTGTTTTTAATGTATCCTACTTTATTCGATACGCAAGAGGATGCCCTGAATATGATTAATTTGTAAACCGAGGCAATCTACTGACAAATAAGTTGATGTTAAAATGATTTCAACAACTCCATTTAAAGTCTGCTTTTCGCAAATTCTATGGTCGTTATAATGACCTTGTTTGTAAATACAACCTATAGTTGGGTCATACACTGTCTGACATGTTCCATGTAATTTGTAACGTCATTGCTTTTCTACTTCATTTGACTATGGGGTACTCTGTCTACCTGATCAATACATAGGACTCACGGCTGGTGTGACCGTCGACAGGGATGTTTCCAGGATACGTATTTTTGACCTATTCACTATTCCTTTTATTTATTGGAATTATGAGATTGAACACTCTTCGTTATCTCCACCTCTTCATTTAAGGAGTGGTCAGTTATTTTTGAGGAATACTTTGATTACAGCATTATAGAAAAGGAAAAAAGTCATTATAGGAAAGAACACTTCCTTATGTCAAAAATGTCATTGTTTGTTCAATGAACAACAAAGCTAAAAAGTCCAGCATTGATGAGACAATTGTATTGAATATCTACAAATTTCTTATTACAAACTTTTATATGAAATTTCAATGAGAAAAAATCTTTCCATATTAAACAAAAAGTTTATTTTTCAAAATTATCGATATGTAAAATGAAAAGTTTAAAAGGAACAGTATTTTAAATATAAATGATCATGGAAATATTTTATATTTATGTAGAAGGTTACCTTTTACTGTATCCACAACTCTTTTTTCAGGCTCAATTTTATCGACAAAAACCTTCAGTATATATTATAGCTGAATGTTGGCATTTCGTGATTCAACCTTAGTTCTTAGCAAACATAATTGAATGGTTATACCAATAATAATACCATAAGGAAATGGAATAAGGAAATGGACATTCTGAAAAAAAAAATCAATCATAAATAAATTCCTTACTATAGATAAACACCTGTTTTTTGTCCATATATTTTTCCCTTCCGTATTTTTAAATGGACATTGCCAGACATTCCTAAATTTCAATTTAATTATAGTTTTTTCCAATATTTTTACGATAATTTTGAATGGCATTGAAAAGTAAGTCCAGATCTAACGACGCGTTCCTAAATCATGTTTAATTTCCCCCAAGAATTCGTGACTGAAGAACTATTACTTCAACAAGTGTCCTCTTAAAAAATTAAGGTACATTCTGAGACATTAGTGCAAAATTCCAGAAAAGGGTGTTTCCTATTAATGCTATTGGAAATTAATTGTATTGTTGACTACCAGTTTAGAAATCAGAAGATGATAATAATCATAAATATTTTTGGTACATTATGAGGAGATACAATATATATATTTAGAAGGACGTGTTATCAGACCTTAAGACTATTTGTGCTATTTCCCTATACATCTAAATCAGGAAAGGAACATTTTATTCTTGTGTGTTGTTAACCCATCTGGCCGAAAACGTCATTGGTACATGTAACTAGTGATTACTAATGTAATTCGCCTAACAACATATTTATGTAACAAGTTAATGTTATAGCAATTTTATCATTATTTCAATATCTCAGTAATTTATACATCTGTATCAGATCTAGAGTTTAACATAAAACCCCATCATGGATTGTATACAAAACCCTATCATGGATTGTAGATCCAGAGTCTAACATAAAAACCCATCATGGATTGTATACAAAACGCCATCATGGATTGTACATCTAGAGTCTAACACAAAACCATATCATGGATTGTACATCTAGAGTAACCTTTATCATGGATTGTAGATCTAGAATCTAATATAAAACCATATCATGGATTGTAGATCTAGAGTCTCACATATAATCATATCATGGATTGTAGACCTAAAGTCTAACATATATCCATATCATGGATTGTAGATCTAGAGTATAACATATAACCATATCATGGATTGTAGATCTAGAATCTAATATAAAACCATATCATGGATTGTAGATCTAGAGTCTCACATATAATTATATCATGGATTGTAGATCTACATTCAAACATAAAACCATATCATGGATTGTAGATCTAGAGTATTACATATAATCACATCATGGGTTGTAGATCTACAGTCTAACATAAAACCAAATCATAGATTCTACCCGAACTTGTCATTGCATTGCTATGGGGAATAAAGAATATATCAAGGGTGTATACTCCGATTGTTTTTTACCGAAAAGGGGATATGCTCATAGTTTCACACACACACACACACCCTCACACACACACACCCTCACACCCACCCACCCACCCACCCACTCACACACACACACACACATACACACACACACACCCACCCACACACACCCACACCCACACCCACACACACACCCACACACACACACACACACACACACACACACACACACACACACACATATATATATATATATATATATATATATATATATATATATATATATATATATATATATATATATATATATATAGAAAGCACAATGAAATTCACTTTTACAAGAATACCCACTTTCGCCCCAGCCCTGGGTTGAACTCTCGACCTACGGAATCTGTCTCCTAGTAGTACAGGAACAGCGTGCTGGACCGCTCGGCCATCTAGGCAAGTCAGAAGATATTCTTTCTATGCCGAAGAAATTCTCGCGGCGCTGTCCTGCACTACACGGTCATTGAGAATGAAAGTGAGATACAGTTATTTGGACATTAGTTTTTTAGAGGATCGTTACCTATGCGCAATGTATACAAAACAGTAACGATCCTCTAATAAAACTTATGTCCAAATAACTGTATCTCACTTCTATTCTCAATGACCGTGTAGTGTATGACAGCGCCGCGAGATTTCCATCGGCACCAAAAGCAACCGATTCCGTAGGTCGAGAATATATATATATATATATATATATATATATATATAGAGAGAGAGAGAGAGAGAGAGAGAGAGAGAGAGAGAGAGAGAGATCTTCATAGAG